TTAATCTCCATGTAGCCTGATGTCTAAACTGTGTCACAGACTGTACAGCACTCAGCTCCACTGAAACTTCAGCTCAGTTTGTTGAACACAGACCTTCTCACTTTGTTGTGTTTTTATAAAATAACCGGCTCAGATGTTTGACTGACACATTTTGAAGTTGTTTGAAACAGAATAAACAAAAGGACATTTAGGGTTATTGTCCCCAATGTGCAACATGAACCCAGCCTATGCTTTCAGTTGGTACATTGGTAACCTCCCGGATGTGCAGTTGTAGGTTACCATTAACCACACAAACCAGGTGTCTGGCGCTCACACGCACACATGCATGGAGTGTCTTCTCCGAACCTGTTAACCTGCTTCATTGTCTTTGTTCACAAGAAGCTGTAGGTTTTGCATTGTTTGCAAAAGACACCCCTCTTTCTTGCTCTTGACCTTGCCTTGGTACATTCCAGTACCCCTCAGAGGGCTGTGCTTTATGGAGCATACACTGGGAGAAGCTGCTGTTATAGAAAGGGAGAAGGGGATGGAGCAGAGTGAAGCGGGGCTGCAGGGATGTTATTTTTAGAAATGTGATTGATATTCGGCTCATACTGTACTTTTTTTCCCCGTGATCGTGACGCTATTTCAGGCCTGTATCCAATAAAATCATACATGTGCATGCACTCAGGGTGGGTTGTCTGTGCTGCTTCTGTCCGTCTGCATGTTGTAGCTTCTCACTTCCCCTCCATCTGTTCTGTTCATGTCTCTGCTCCTCGTGTTAGCTAGCTTAGGAGCCACCAGAGACAGGCCTGGTCTGGTGCAGCCCATCCTTCCTTTTATGGTATAGGAAGCAGTATCCTTACTACACACACGCACACGCACACACGCAAACGCATGCACACACACACACACACACACACACACACACACACACACACACGTAAAAGTCTCAGCAAGAGATGCACATCTGCAGTGGTTCACTGCAGCTAGCAAGCAGCTCCAGATGGTATGAGATGTGAAAGAATGTGACAAACTGTTGATTTGTCCAAACGAGGACACAGATCAGAGTGTGTTTTAAGATCAGAGACTTCCTCACTACTCACTGAATGTTTGTTCAGCTGACAGAGCTGCTGTACAACTGCTGCAGACATCTGAGAAGAGTGAGCAGAGAAAAGAAGAGAGAGATGTAGAAGTATACATTAAATCCTATGGACTCTCTCCATCCCCCGCTCTCTCTCCCTCTCTCTCTCTCTCTCTCTCTCTCTCTCTCTCCATCTCCATCTCTCCATGTTATAATCACACACACACACGCGCGCAAACACTCCCCTCTTTGCTTGAGGCCTTGCTCCTAGCTCTGGACTAAATGATATCATCGGTTGCCAGGGATACAAGGACACAGCGTGCAGAGAAAAAGGGAGGGTGAGGCATAGGCAGAGCCATGCACATAGCCTGAGAGAGAAAGGAAGGAGGCTGGCATATTGGGTATCAAGAAAGAAAAGAAGCCTTGTTCAAACAAGTAGTGAAGATAGCAAAAGGCGAAGGGGCAGGGTCATGAAGAGGAAAGAAAGCCTGCCTGCCTGTCAAAGGTTACTGGCCCAACCTCTCATTTCATTCTCCCTCTTTGTCTAGAAAGGGTCAGAAAATGCAACAGTACAGATGAGTGTGACAGCATGTGTTGTAGGAGATGAGAGACAAGAATAGAAAGGAAGAGAAGTGCAGCAATACCTGAGGGATGGACGAGAGATACTGTCCTTGATTTGAAACAATAAAACCTTCCTGTCTTGTACATGTGTGCACCAAATGACTGGTATTTCCTCACTCTCTCTCCACTGTGTGTCTGTGTATGTTTGCCAGCGAGCGGAGGATGAGCATGTCTATTTAAAGGGATCTGAGACTGCACAGGTCTGCTGTCTTTCTATTCCTGACTGGCGGCATCATTGAATTTGGACCAGAGAGTCTGTCTCCCCCTTTTCTCTCAGTGCTCACTGCAAGGTAAGATTGGTTACAGGGATGAACATGTACACACAAACGCACACACACACACACACTATTAGGTTTCAAATAAATGTGTCCGATTTGCACCTGGCAATCAGGATTCATGTGGTGAGATTGTAAAAGGTTAGAGAGCCAAATGGGAGTTTGAGCAGCAGAGACAATGCATGGTTATCCCATGCTCCATTCTCCCTGTGTGGTGACAGAGAGATGACCAGGGTTTCCTTGGTGACAGCAGGCAGAGAGGAAGCAGACTGAGGGGAGCAGACAGCAGGTTTAGTCCATGAGGAGGTGACAACCATCCAGCAGTGTGAGCAGTGAAATGTTTAAAGTGTAAAGCATCATTTGTGCACGGACACACCACAATACAAACAGCACTGTAGTATCTTTAAAGTAATTCTATACAGCTGGTATTCAACACAACGCACTGCTACTTACTGCCCTGTTTGCAGTGCACGCTTCTTTTCTTTAAGGTTTTCTCACTGTGGAGCAACAGAAAATTAACCCCTTTTGCGCATGACATCATTTGGCCTCTGCGCTGAAGTCCAGATGTGTCAAATGACCCCCGCACAGATGGGTTAAATATTGGAGGAAGTGAGCCATTGTTGCATAGACTCAAATGTAAGCTGTTGTTGACTTTAACCCCCCCCCAACACTGTAACAGAAGTGTGTGTTCCCAATCTGAGAGGATTTACATCATCCGCTCTCTGTGTAATGTTGCTCAGTACTAGAAAGCTCGGGGTCAACAGCATGTGGTGATGGTGTGTGTATAGAAATGTTGTAACATCGCAAAGTTGAAACACAGTTTACAGGTTGTTTGCGTCACATTTTTGGAAACAGATTCAAACAACAGGCAACTCTGAGAATGAAGTCATCCAAACAAGATCCTGTGTAACCTGATATCCTGACCTGATATGTATAGGTTATATCTAATATCCTATAGATAAGCAAAGACAGCTTTAAAGCAAAATATTGTCCGATGATGAAGAGGTTGTTGGAGAATTAGTGCAAATTGTAGAAGCTCATAAAACTAGCCTTTCAAAAAGCCGATTGTAGTGGAACATGAGATATGAGGATTAGTGTGGATATTACCAGACATTTTTGTCTATTGTACGGCTTTATATAGCAACTGATGGCACACAGTGCTGTATGTTAGGATAAAGTCATGTAGTCCTACTTGACTGTACGTAGCAGCAGACACTGGATGCACATAAAGGTCTCTCATGTCTTCTTCCTACTCTAAAAATAAATCTAAATGCATCTGACTCTAAAAAGCCTAAAGCCACAGCAGTAAGAAGTGTCTGGCTTCAGTTGCTCCAGCAACTAGTTGGAAGTGGACGCTCAGGAAGGGGCTGCTCACTTGGCTCAGACTTTGGCTTTCACAAAAAGGTTATTATAGCACAACACCACAACAGTTTTACCACAAACAAACCTTCATGGAACAAACCTGCAGTGCAAAGAAACACACCGCTGGGGAAGTGGTAAATGTTCCACAGTGGCTGTTCAGACTATGTATAGAAAGCTGTGCTAAATGAATGCATGTTGAGGTGCAACCTGTCACCGGTGCACCAAAGTTGATCTTTACAAGGTCAGCTTCCTTCAGCACAGTGTCGTCAGTGTTGAAGTGTCTGACAGCAGCAATAGAGACAGGAAGAGATCTCTTCTGTCCTTGGTAGAAGAGACTCTTCAGTTTTAAACAAAGGGAAAAAATCAATAAAAATGAGAGTAGGCTGAATAAGCTTGGGAGGCTTGGAATTAGAACTTGTGATCAGACAATAAGAGACAACTTGAATCTCAGCAGAGACACAACCGGGTGTAGTGGATCAGTTTTCAGTGGGCAGCTATAGAACTCACTGTGCCTCTGGAAGTTTGTGTACCTGAAGCAAATAAAAGAAAAAGAATGTAGATCCTGAAGACAGAAGATCCATGTTGATTTGAAACACATTCAGCAGCAGTTCTCTCTGAGAATCAGGGGTAAGAAAAACTCTATAGCAGCACTGCCTGCCATGATTTTTCTTCTTCTTTGCTCTTAAAGGGAGGTTGCCATGGTCCTTCGTCTTACTGCCATGTTTTTTCATCATTGGATAGCCACTGGCTGTGGTGGCTGCTGGGAAGCAGCGATTAGAGAGACTGAATGCACAATGCAGCTCTGGCTGACTGATGATATGACCACTGAACAGATACAGAGCAGCAGAAAATGCAGCATGAGGAAATAAAATCTACTGTAATGACACTTTGGTGCTGACGTTCATCACAGACTCACAAAGCCTGTTTGTCGTTAAGCCAGAACAAAGTTAATGTGTGGATATGGCATAGAATATAACAATATATAATAATAATAATAATATACAGTATGTATAATATATACATGTTTTTCTCTCTCTAGTCACACACAGAATTTATCTCTCAACCATGTGTCTTGTCCACAGGCTGTTGTTTTGCTCTCAGGTGTGAAGTGGAGGGCCTCTCAAATACAGACCAAGACTGGTAACCACAGCACATTTGTCTCTCTGTGTGTGTGTGTGTGTGTGTGTGTGTGTGTGTGTGTGTGTGTGTGTGTAAATGCAAATATATATCATGTGCATGAGTAACAGAAAATGAGATGTACATAGATAATTGTTTAGCTGCTGAAATGTCATCAAACCCTTAATATACCCGTGTGTGAGTCGCTCCATGTTGTGTTTCGTGAGTGTTCACTTTCTGCGATAATTGGATTTCACTTTAATTGATCAGGGGCTCCTTCCCTTGGGGCTTCTTCAAAAGAATAAGTCAGTGAGTCGAACAGTTTTCTGAATCAGCATTTCAGGATTAAATCTTCCCTTACTTTTGTCACACATCGTGTAAGTGTAAGAATTACTCACAAATGAAACTGTACAATGCAAACTGGTGGCTAAATCTGACTGTTTGAAAGTGGCAGCACTTCTGTGTTGCATTTCACAGTATGTAGTCAGACTTTCCTATTTATTTGTTTATGTTCATTCAAAATCTTAACACCATATACATTAAAGCACATGTGTGTTTCAGGCTGCATGTATCACCCAGCAGAGCTGTACTCTGGCCGTAACACATGGGACTCCTATCCAGCTGGAGGACCTAACAGAGGACAATGGGCTCCTGTGAACAGTCGCGTCTGGAGCCACACAAACAGGTCAGCAGCACCATCAACGCACATAGGACATTATTAGTGTTACCTGAACATATCATTTCAGATGCAGTGGAAATAAACTCTTATGTACTTTTTCTTTACTGATAAATAAATTATGACATAAAACCATAAACCATAACATAAACCTCCAATACAACTACAGTAAACATGGTAGTTGTTCCACTCTCCACTCAGTGGGAGTGGAGAGTGGAAAAACTTGAGACTTGAACTTCCCCAACAAGGGTCATTCCAGCAGGTGGGACTCCAGCCTTTGTTGTCTGGGTTGATTTAAGATAAGCACCACTTTATGGGGCTGACTGATTAACTGAAAATGGGATGAGCATATTCATGAACAGCTCATACTTCAGCTGCAGCAGTGAGCATGGACTCATCCTCACAGTTTAAACAAGCACGACTGGTGAATGAAACTATAACTTCTTCAGCTGCAGCTGAGAGAAGCCACAGACTATTGAGCCGCAGCAGCTGGAGGAAGCTCCAATGAATGTGATTGTAACTATAGAGACAGTTGTGACTCTGATAAAGAGGTATGACTCTCAAACTCTAAATAATACATTACTCTGGGAAAAAAACTCTTTGCATTGCATAAGTTCCATCAACATGTGAATCAATAAAGCGAAGATATGCTACTGTAAAGGTCAAATTAAAGACTTCAATATACATGGCTTTATTTAAAGTAGAGAGAATGAGCTATTGTCAGTTACTGAGTTATCAAGTTGTTTCAACAGTCACAGTGACAACGTAGCCTTCTGCATGGACCATATTCACACGGTGTCCATTTTCCTCTGATGTCACACTTGGGGGGGGGGGGGGGGGGGGGGGTGTAAAAACTTGACTTGTTTACTTTCACTTTCCTTCCACCACATTGATAAATGGGCAGATGAATTTGTCAGATGTTGAAGGACAGACCAGCCCACACTGGAAACACTGTAAGCTAATGCTAGGCTAGCAAAAGTGAAGTTTGCAATTTACATAAATGTCAATGTTAGCGCTACTAAAGTTGTCAGATGACAGATGAATCCACTTGCTTGTGCAAACATTAAACATTAACTAATGTTATTTGGTTTCATAATCAACCTGCATCAATGATACAATAATATGATACTGGAGCAAGTGCATCACTGCTAACTTAACCAGATGTAAAGATAGCTGGGCAGCTAACGTTACATTGCAAGCTTGATCACATCCACTGTGTTGAAGGCTGAACTAAACATGTTCGAGATCTGTGTTGATGTTTCAGAATGAACCTATTTCTTTCCTATTGTGTCATGTAGCTCTATCAAACAGTAGTGTTAGCTAAGAAGTGGTTGAATGCTAACATTAGCTGTTGTAGCTCATGGGTTATCAAATATTTGGTTTTACCTCGATCTTCCTTCGGGTTTTCATCATCCATTGTCTTTAGCAGAATCTCTATGTTTATGACTTTTAAACTGGAACATAGCAGTACAACATTAGGTTACAGCATTTCAGAGGAAAATGGCCGCCGTGTGAATATGGTCTATGGGGTTAAGTAATCCTAGCAGAGACACTTGATTAACAAGCCATGCCAATTCAGTATGGTCAAAGAGGGTTTTTTTTTAAACTTATTTTATCACGGTTGCCAAAGCCTGTATCACCACTGAGGTCCCATTGAGTCAGACAATCAGGGAAAGACCATATACTCACAGAAAACACTGGGAAAGAAGAATGACAGGTTCAGAAAAACGTACAAGTTTGGCTTTAACCTTGTAGCTTTCTTGTGTTTTTTTTTTCATTACTACAGATGCCAGGGAGGGCGCAATCAATCACATCATCCACTATCAAGTCGTTTTTATAATAGGTGAGTGTAAGAATTTCATACACTGCACTGAAAATGTGACACGTTCTGTAGCTTCTCTTTATCTCCTTTTAAAGTTATGTCCTGTCATGTATTTGTTACTTGGATGGATGGAGGGAAACGTTTGTAAATTTGCCATTTGAGCATCAGAACTTGACGCTTTGACGGATATGAGTATTCACTTGACATGTGAAGTCCCACTTGTGTCATGCTGTGGCGTCGCTGTTTTGAATCTCTTTCTACACCATGATACTTGTTGCTAAGTTCAGTGGGTCTTTTTCTCAGGGGGGAGAGAACAGTTAACCATGTTCAGGACAAAGGTATCTCAAAGGGGCACAGGCAGCATCTACGTCTCTGGGATGGTAAAGAGCAGCTGTTTGATGCCCAGAGCTGGCATCACAACTCCACACGCTCATTCCACAACCGAACTGCCACCAACAACGGTTACCTAACAGGACCCGGCGAGCGCTACACATCCTGGGACAACAACCTCAGCAACTCTGTGGTGAGCCGTGCGGATCAGGAACAATCTTCTTTTCAAAGGAGTCGATGTTGTTATTGCAGCTAGAAGTGTGTCGTCTTTTGACTCTTTGATGATGGCTGAACGTTTTCTGCCTCTGACTGTTAGCATGGGGGTCCTCGTCTGCATCGCAACAACAGAGAACTCCAGTCCCCACCAGAGAGATGGGCCCCCACAGACTGCCGCAGGAGCTTCCCAGGCAGATTGATAAACAACAGGCCGGGCCCCTGGAAACGGCCAGCCCTCCATCAGCGGCGAGACCAATTACACCAGCACAGTCCACCCCCACAGCACCCCTTATCCCCAAGGGAGGAGTGTCCTGCTAAGAGGAGGAGAGACTCTGGCCCTGATCAGGTACAACAAACTCTGATTCCTTTGTTAAACGCAGCCTATATATCTGCACATGACATTTCAGTTCTGTGCAACAGCACCACCCATTGGTAAATCATCCAGTATGACAGGATCTCTCTGCTTGTCTCTTCAGTCATCTCATCCAGGATCAAGGCATTTACCTTTACTTGCCCACGCCCCATCACCACCTCGCCACCACCGCTGCAACCAAGATGACTGGAGGCCTCTTAATGACAGGGCGGGTCCTTGCCACCACTCTGACCACAGGACCTCAACAACACAGCAACAGGTAAGATCATTAGGGAATTTTTGCTGAAAGAAACTGAAGTGATAATTCCTTGTTAATTTCTACTGTTGGTCTTGAAATTGGCAGGAAACCTCTAAAGTGCGAGCTGGAGGACATGGCTTCAGTAACAGCAGCTTAGCAGCTCTGAACCAGAGTTGTGGCAGCAGACCGCCACATCACGGAAGCAGAGGGAAGGTCGAGCGGAAAATCTCGTCTTCACCAGCAGACCACACCCGTGTGCCTTACAGCCACCAAAACCATCATTACCACTATCAGCGGCACACAGGCCACCCCAGAGCCCTACAGCACAACCCCCCACTACACCCTCTGGAGGAGAAGGACCCACGGAGCCATCACCACAAACAAAGCACAGTAAGAAACAAACACAGGAACAGCATGAACACAGAAACACGTCTATGTTTTACAAGCTGTTACTAAATGTGGGAAACAGTGTAGATTTATCGAGCACGTATGTTAGATGTGAAAGTTCTTTTTTCAGAATAAGAGCACATATACTAGATATGATTTGACTTAATCTTGTAATATTAACTCTGCAGGAACTTCAACGCACTCATCAAAGAGGAAATTCAAGGGATCCAGCCCTCTCCAAGTCTTCTGGTGCAGACTCTCCTCCATACTCATCCCTCCTCTGCGGTCCTAAAGATGGAGGTTCTACTGCCAGCAGTCCACGTGCTCCCTGCAGTCCCTCGTCATACACAGCAGCCAGTGGCAGAAAAGATCCATCAATCATTCGTCAGTGTAGTCCTGGCCTCAGTGGACAGCAGAAACTCCAGGGAAGCCCCAGTCACACCCCAAGACCTAGCCTGACATCCACAACGTCTCTTACATCTCACAACGGTCCAAAATCCAGGTTTTCAGATATCAAGTACAGAAAGACCTCACAGCCCCTCTGCTCACGACAGTTGCCCCACAGCAGATCGAGAGCAAACAAGTCCGAGAAGGAGGTGGAAGATCACAAAAAGCCTGAGTGCAAACAAAAAGATAAGCTGGGGAAAAAGGAGAGAAAGGGAGAAGTTCAAAAGACAAACAGAAAGGGTGAAGAAAGAAAAAGGCGGAAGAAAAAAGAAGAGAAAAGATTGGGCGACAGAAAAAAGAAAAGAGATAAATCACTTAAGAAAGAAAGAAAGTTAGGTTTGAAAATCACAAAAAAGGAAACATTCCACTCCGTCTCTTCTTCCAGCTCTTCAGGAGAAGTTAAAACGAGTAAAATGGAGTCGACAAATCCAGAGAATCAAAGCCAGTCAACATCCAAACACAAGCACAGGGTGAGAAGTGAGCGAGCAGAGGGGACACACAGGCCATCTGCCAATATTCCTCATCCCAGCTGCACTTCACCACAGCCGTCCTCAAAATCTGAAAATCACAAAAAAAAGAGCAGCAGTGCCCAGAAACTCCCTGTCCAGAATCTACTCCTGCAGTCTCTTCCCAGGAACACAAGCCCCAATCAGACCAGCAAGAAACCCACCGTCGTCTCATCCCGATCAGGAGACGGACCAAAAGAAAAGCCTGATGAAACCCTCCCTTCACTTTTGTTCAAAGCCTTAGCACCACTCAGTACAGCATGCTCTGTCAGCTTAGAGCGGCCCGTCCACGGCAAAGACAGAAGCCAGGGAGGAGTTCTCAACGCTCCAGATCTCCAGCCTGTGGCTGTGATGGGAAATCTGAGGGAAATGGGAGACAACCTTGCAAACACTCCACCTGTCCTGAGCTGGCAGGGATCTCCAGTATCAGTTCTGGGAGAGGATGAGGAGGAGCTAGAAAAGGGAGTGATAAGTAGACCTGTCCTGCAGCCCAGCCCCACCCAGTGCTTTTCTCCTCCTCCTGTAGACAACGACAGCATTGAAAATTTGAATAAGGAGCCTTGTGAAAGTATTCTGGCTGATTATTCCCACAACGACAGGTCTGAAGTCTGTGATCCGCCCTCTACAGCTGAACAAGTTGCTGAGGAAGAAAAGGAAGACGACGTGGACAGCAGTGGGGAAACTTCTGGCTCTCTTCTTCGTGAGCTTCGCCACCATAAAGCGGGGTTGGATGATGTCTTCAAGAGCCTGGCCACCTTCCTCGGAGGCCAGAGGGTCTCGTGTCGAGGCGGACCGTTTGGCGGGCCCCCTGCTGTCACTGCAGGAGGGGTGAAGTACTCTTCTTCTCTTGCGGAGATCCACTGTCATGAGCATCACGACTTCTCCCCCAACTCAGATCCCACTGCATCGTCTACACCCAGTAATCAATCACCTACTCACACTACCTCAGACACACGTTTGAAATCCCACAGTCTGACGGATCTGAGTGAACCCGGTGTGGACACCCTGGTGCAGCAGAAGCAGGAAGAGACAGAGGATGATATGAAAGCAAAACAAGAGGGTAAGGATGCAGAGACCCTCCCCCGGAGCATTGAGTCATCTCTTTTGGACGGGTCGCTGAGTGCAGAGCTGAGACTGACCACCACAAATACAACCTCTTTCACCGGCCTCCTCACGGTTTCCACCAAGGAAGAGAGAGAGCACAGCAAAGAGACAGAACACAGACATACAGACAGAAAAAGAAAACAAAAGGAAAGGGACGGAGGAAGAGAAGGAGAGATCAAGATAAAGATAAAAGCAGAGGAAAGCAGCGTCATCTGCCCTAAGAACAAAGTAAATGAAATAAAGGATTTGGAAGAAAGGGATATCTCATCCTTGGAGCCAGTCATCTCCAGAAGCTCACCCAGACCTCTCAAAGAAAGTATAAAGGGCCAGATTTCTCAGGAAAATCAAACCCCGCACGGCAAAGACATCCAGAGAGAGAAGGTGGACAGCGGGAACGCCGAGGTAAAGGTAGCAACGGAGAAGAAGGAAGCCGAGTTGGAAAATAAGAAATCGTCAGCAGCTAGAAACACGGATACCAAGACTTCAAACTCAGCGTCAACTGTAACAATCAACACATCCAAACTATGTGTCTCCACACCAGCAAGTAAACCTCCCTGCTCATTGGCTCCGGTCGATCCACTGAAACTGAAAGCGCTGTCCATGGGCTTGTGTAAGGAGCTAAAGATCCTCTTGATTAAAGTGGAGAGTGCTGGAAGACAAACGTTCAACATATCAGAGGTGGAGGAGCAAAGAATCCCACTTTCCAAGATCAACATCGAAAACACGGCAACTGAAGTGATCAGAGCCTGCAAGTGAGTTCTCAGACAGAGATCTGGGTGTCTCATTAAACAGAGTGGCTTTTACATGTAACTTGTTCCTCTTGATGAATTTTTATCTTTTATCGCTCTGTCATCTTTTTCCAGGTGGACGAGGGTGAAGGGGAAATTCAAGGAGTCGTACCTGCTGCCCACTTTCTCTGTTAAACCTAACATTGCCATCAAGACCCCCATTCCTCGAGAAAAGCTTAACCCTCCAACACCAAGTATCTATGTGAGTCCTCTCAGCTCAGCAGAATCAAAACTACCCAGCCGAAGAAGTAAAATCATCAAGTATTTAATGTTAAAATCTTGTTTTTAGCCAAGCTAGCAAGGGTCCTGTTGACATGTATGCTTCAGAGTGAGTCTCACTAGCGGATGGATTGCCATTAAATACAGTACAGACATTCATTAGATATTTTAATTAGTTACAGCCATGCAGAGCTGCAGACACTAAGTCTTGTTTGTATATGAATAAAAACTGTAAATCACCAACATAACTTTGATTTATTTAAAATCACTTGGAACATTTCTTGAATGGCAGCACATTTCCCGCCAACTGTGAGTGTTTTTAATTTGTTTTTAAGACGAACACGTTCATTGCTTTGCTGTGTTGTCTCTGCAGTTGGAGAGCAAGAGGGACGCCTTCTCTCCAGTTCTGCTTCAGTTCTGCACTGATCCCAAAAATGCTGTTACTGTCATCAGAGGACTTGCTGGCTCCCTCCGCCTTAGTAAGTTTATCCACCGCACTCATCTCAGCTAAGTTACTGCACACTCTGTTTACTCTATTCAGCCCAACAGAACTGATCAAATTACATTCAGTCTAAGTAAAGTTTTGTTGAATAGTGAAACAGGCAGGGAGCAGGAGCAGAGACCGGAAAAGAGAAGGCCGCATTAATTCTTCATACATGAACACAGAATATCATTAATCATTATTATTCTAGATAGTAGACATTTTAGATGTTTGATATATTGAGTAATTTAGTAATAAAGATATGTGTGAGCTCTTCTCTCCACTGTGTTTGACATGGATGCTGCATCTTTTCACAGTCTGTGAGGTTTTAGAAACCGAATAAAACTGTCGACCAAAACTCTGTCACCAAACCGCCAATTGGACACCACACAGAGCCGCACTGTCACACACTCTATACACAAGACATCACATGTTTTTATGATCCATATTTGAATGCAGACCATGTCTGCTCACCCATGACGTGATGGCTGTGCTACAGGGAGGCTGTATTGAGAATTGCTGCTTTGAATGTATTTCCATATTTCAGTGTGTGTATTTTACAACTATCAAGCAGAGGACGTGGATGAGGGTTAGACGTTTACTGTTATCTGATCATTACCTCTGCTCCCTGCGGTAGACCTTGGTCTGTTCTCCACCAAATCTCTGGTGGAGGCCAACGCGGACCATGCAGTGGAGGTAAGGACTCAGGTTCAGCAGCCGGCCGATGAGAACTGGGATCCCAGTGGCTCAGCGCAGACGTGGCCGTGTGAAAGCAGTCGCTCACACACCACCATCGCCAAATACGCCCAGTACCAGGCGTCCAGCTTCCAGGAGAGCCTGCAGGTAGACATTTTCCCTCATGGCACACACATGAACACACAGACAGTTCAGTGGACAGAAGTGTTGCTAAAGGCATTATTACTGTAACTGACTTACACCCGCTTGTATCACACCTCTTATACAAAACCAGAGGTGCGTGTTTTACAGGGCCTCACTGGAGAGTCACACACCAGGTGTCCAGACCTGTCGTCATGTACAGATATTCTGTCTGAGGAGGAAACACTCATTAGACTTGACATCACAATGTCTTAATCTGAATGATTTCAGAGTTTAAATATAATATAGATTTAAAGAAAGTAAAATATATAACTAAGACATATAAGTGGTAGACGGATTTGCTTTACTTCATGTCAAACTGTTGTCTTTAATTCAATTCAAATGAAACCCACAGACGTGGCCGGACAGGCAGATGTAGATGAATGTGCACTTCCTCATCAAGCTGAAATTAGTGATTCACAACAAGTTTGTCCAGTTGGTAAACAGACTGTGGTGAATCCAATTCAGATTCCACATGTATGTAAATGCATAATTGTAAATGCTCTTGCATAAGGGCCGTTGTGCATCAAAGTATAGTAAAGTATCTATGTTTCTGTTAATCATCAGCTGGTCAAGTGTATGGACCGATGAAATCCACGTGTGTTAGGTAAATAATGATTGAATTCACAGGGATCCTTGTCCAGGATCTCCAAAGTAAATGATGTAATGATGCATTTCTTTTTAGCTGTTGGCCAACCTGTCAGCTAAGCTCATGTAGATGTGTTATAGGAGGAGAAGGAGAGTGAGAATGAAGAGGAAGGAGAGCAGACCGAGACCTCAGACCCAGCAGCCCCTGCAAAAGCCGGTCTGACGTTAGCCAACAGTAAAGGAAGTCCCACCTCGGCTTCCGTTAAAGCCAGTTCTGCTCCCGTCCTCAGTAAAGCCCAGTCTGTTCTTTCCACCAGCACACCCAGGTTAGCACAACGCTGTGATCTGTTTGTGTTGGATTCACTGTTTCACTGTGTGAACAACATTCAAACTCAGACTTTGTTGTTACCCTCAGCTCAGAGCAGAAAACGGTCGGAAAGATCATCAAATTTGGGACCAACATTGATCTGTCAGACCCTAAAAGGTGAGAGGAAGTTATTGAAATCAGTCAAACCCGAGGCCGCTTATTGTTTCACATCACCCCACATGTTTTTTTTCGAAGGTGGAAGCCCCAGCTGCAGGAGCTGCTGAAGCTGCCAGCTTTCATGCGAGTGGAATCCAGCAACAACATGCTCAGTCATGTCGGTCACACCATCCTGGGCATGAACACGGTCCAGCTCTACATGAAGGTGCCAGGCAGCCGCACGCCAGGTTAGCGTGTGTCCGAGATCACAACTGGACATCTGTAATCCTGTGATTTTACATTTTTTTTTAATGTTTCAAACGAAGGAAGTTTTAGATTCATAAACCGACTCTTTGCATCTCTCACCAGGTCACCAAGAGAACAACAATTTCTGCTCCGTCAACATCAACATCGGACCTGGTGACTGTGAGTGGTTTGCTGTCCATGAGCACTACTGGGAAGATATCAACAACTTCTGTGAGAAGTGAGTGAAGAGGCGGTTAGGTTTCACACATGATGCAGGTTTCAGTAAGTGTACCGGCTAAATTTCACGGTTTCCCTCAGGCATGGAGTAGACTACCTTACAGGGTCCTGGTGGCCAGTCCTGGAGGACCTCTACAGCTCCAACATTCCCGTGTACCGCTTCATTCAGAGGCCAGGCGACCTGGTGTGGATTAATGCAGGAACTGTGCACTGGGTCCAGGCAGTGGGCTGGTGCAACAACATCGCCTGGAACGTGGGACCACTCAACTGTAAGTTACGCCAAGGACCGAGAGAGAAAGAGCTTCAACCCTGAGGGTCAGGGGTTGCTCTTCGTCTCGAATTACAAATGAAATATACAGTTTAAGACGCTGCCTACCTTCAGCCTCACCACTGTTTGTGTGTTCTGCTCTCCCAGCGTACCAATATCAACTCGCCCTGGAGCGCTTCGAGTGGAACGAGGTGAAGAAGGTTAAGTCAATCGTTCCCATGATCCATGTTTCCTGGAATGTGGCTCGCACCATCAAGATCACCGATCAGGATACCTTCAAGATGATCAAGTGAGATGTCTCTGTGCATGTTTACCATCTGTGTGTGTGTGTGTGTGTGTGTTCCCAGCGTACCAATATCAACTCGCCCTGGAGCGCTTCGAGTGGAACGAGGTGAAGAAGGTTAAGTCAATCGTTCCCATGATCCATGTTTCCTGGAATGTGGCTCGCACCATCAAGATCACCGATCAGGATACCTTCAAGATGATCAAGTGAGATGTCTCTGTGCATGTTTACCATCTGTGTGTGTGTGTGTGTGTGTGTGTGTGTGTGTGTGTGTGTGTGTGTGTGTGTGTTGTTCATATCTTTCTCTGTCTCTCTCAGATACTGCCTGATGCAGTCCATCAAGCACATCCAGATTCTGAGAGACCAGCTGGTGGCTGCAGGGAAGAAGATCTGTTACCAGAGCCGTGTGAAGGACGAGCCGGCCTACTACTGCAATGAGTGTGACGTGAGTCTCCCTGTCTGTCCATACAGGAAGCTGTGCATCTGTGCATGTGGATGTAGATGTTTGATGATCCATGGGACCAAAACTGTGTTTGTGCAGGTGGAGGTGTTTGATCTGCTGTTTGTGACCAGTGAGAACAGCAGTAAGAAGACCTACGTGGTGCACTGTGAGGACTGTGCCCGAGCTAAGAGCCCGTCTCTGGCAGGAGTGGTGGTGCTGGAACAGTATCGAATAGAGGAGCTGATGAGAACCTACGACAGCTTCACGCTGGTCAGTGTCACTTTCTAATCCTGAACAGTAACAGTAAAGCCAAATGGTCCTCTGCTACAGTTCTTCTCAGATTAGGCACCGACAGTCTCACTGTGCTCCACCCAGATCAATCACAAATACTAGGCTGAAGAAAAAAAATGACAAACACTTTATGACAAATTACACTTGAGATATGGCAAAAATAACACAGATGTTCATCACCCAGATGTGTTAGAGAGCAGCGATTTTAACTCACCAACTTCTCTCTGGTCAGCTTTCCTAAGCACACTGCAGTGTTCTGTAACAATCAGTATGAAGAGACTTGAATCCTGCTTTAGATGTTTCAGTGAATTCTGAGATGCATTTATTTGTTGTTGAAGCTTACGTTGTGATTTCTTTGAACAGTAGCTGCAATCAGGTTTAAAGACTCGACTCTTGGTGCCTTTAAAGAAACTAACTTCCCTAACAACAATTCTTAATGCAAGAAACATTTACATCACATCTTTTCACAACCTCCGTGTTTGTCTGTTGTCTTCCTTCTGGCAGCAGACTAAAAAACTCATCACAGAGGACGTTTGTAATAAAGGCATTCACATCAGTCCAGTAACAGTGGGAGATGAAAATGTAAACTCCATAAAGCACTAATGCAAACTAATCGTTCACTGTGTTGGATTATAATGTTTCTACAGCAACTTTAAGTGTCTGAGATCATTTTTTACATCGCTTCACCAAACAGCTTCATCATGAACTCAGGCTAATGGCTGCTTTTACATTTTCAATCTAAAACATATAAGTAAGTAAGTAATATAAGGAATATGTGATGTGTAGCTCACAGACCCAACAGTTTGTCTCCTTACCCAGTGGCTGCAGTAAAACCATTATCATTTACTCTAACACTGTGCTGGTTTTATATACTGGTTTCATTCACAGGGAATGTTTATCACAACCGGCTAACATGACAGTTCAGCACAAAGTAAAATAAATACACACATCTGGTCAGGGGGAATTGGTTTTAATTGATGATTGGTTGCTAAGTGATGATTTAATCTGCACACACGCCTTTTCTTAAGTGATCAGCTGAGCTCTGTGTCTTCCTCTCTTCTTCCTCTTCAGGCTCCATCACCCTTTTCAAAGTGACGACTCTTCCCTGGTGTCTTTCAGCCATAACCAAAACTCTAATGGCAGCACAAATGTTGCCTTCGAGGCAATCTATTCCTGCAAACACTTTCTGAATCAGCCAATCACGTTTACTCGGTATTGTTTACATCACATAATAAGGTATGGATACTCAGCCAATCCAACTATAGCTCACTGTCTTCCCCATACCAGCTGCTGATTGGACGTGTGTTTTGAAATAGAATGACTAGACTGGTACTTCTCATGAAAAGCATTTCTGACGTGTACAAAAAAACAAAAACAACAAAAAAAAAAGAAAACACAATGTGAGCACTGCTAGCACTGAAAATCAGGTTATATGTTTAACGGACACTGCTGTGATTCAAAAGCGTCAAGTAGCCAGTTCTTTGTATTAATTCAGGTACTTTTATGCAAATTCAGTAGAACTTTTTTACACCAATCTAGTTATTCTATATGTCCATGAATTTGCTGTGATTCTATCGTACCAGCAGGGGAATTGCTTCACAGGAGAAGTAGCTGATTGTCACATTTGGCATCGTATTGGTTTCTGTTTTTGTTTGTTATTCAGGTAAACTCTGACATTTGTAACTCCTGTCTGTAAACTCTTTGAGGTGCTATTCCAATGTTATTTATTCTCGTTAGATACTTAAAAAGTTTTACCAGCCTAGAAGTACACCACATTGGCCTTGTGAACTGTATTTAGAGGAGAGGTAATTAGAGGATTAAACTCACACAAATAAGGTTTTATGTAAGTATAAAAAAACAAATCAAAAACTTTTATCAGTTTCTCTAAAATACGGGTTTACTAGAGGACTAATATGGTTTTATTCTTAGTTGGAAATCAAGTATGTAGATGGAAAATGAGTTTTTTTTTATTTGTTTTTTCACAAGTCCAGCTATATAGTTGTTGCTGTGCTTACTATGATACACCCAGAAAACAGACATTGTGTTGTTTTTATTTTTGAAATGGGAAAACAATCTCAGTTTTATACCTCTTTTGTTGCTACGTTCTTGTTTCTAGATGACAGAGAAAATTAATAATTGTAAATTGTGAATGAATTTACGGGATACACAGTGGTGTGCATAGACGCTGTATGAGGTGGGGGTCACTATAGTTGTTTGTGTCAGTGAAGTGCCCATTGCAGTCTGCAAAAAGTAATATATATATGTATATATATATATACATATATATACTGTATATGTCCAAAGAGACACACAATCATAATCTTCTAATGCAAAAGCCGACGAGGGCAGACAGATGATCAGACTGCAGGGCGCTTCAGTGTTTCCATTCTGCTCCACACATCTGTCCATCAGGCTGAGCTCCGTGCACTGTCACCGGGTTTCATACACTGTACTTCCAGTTACACCTGTGGAAGAGCACATGAACTGAGACATGACAAAAAAAAGCCCAGTTTTTGTTTTTAAATTTCTTTTTTCCATCATTTAGACCATCCTTCAAAACAAAAGCTCTCATTATGTTGACGCAACATAGTCCGAACTTTGGCTTTAAATTCCAAAGTTTTGTATATTTATTGTGTCAGTGACATGTGAATTTGATGATTTACTGTAGGTATTATTTTTTATTTCTTTAATTGTTTTTGTCATGTTGTGTTTTGCATTTGCTTAAATGTTATAACAACAAAAAATATATTGACCAATAGCATTTCTTTCTATAAATACATAACATAAACAAACAGTATTAATAAGGATCTTTTAGATTTGTTTTCTGAAGATTTATTAGCATATGTACTAAGATGAAAAGAATTCCTGCAATAACTTAATATCAACTGAGTTATTGGTGTAGCTCGACTTCAGAGTACTTTTAAATGACATGAAATGTGGTTATCACGTACCACACTGGACTGTATTCACTGGTTAGGCCTTTCTTTGTCTTTTAAATGGGTGTTCAGTATTACTGCTGTGAAGCCACTCTAATAACCCCCCCTTTCAGATCTTACCCCTTCCCTCATTAGTCTGTGCACACCATTCCATGTACATAATGTATCTGTTTTCAGGTTTACTAGAAGACTTATGTAGTTTTGTTCTCAATCAAAAATCTAATTTGTATATGGTCAAATTTGTCCACCTCAGTTGTTTGTTTTTGTTGTTGCTATATTATAATACACCCTAAAAAATATCCTGTTTCAATCTAGTTTAAATTACTGCAATGGGAGTTTCTTCCCACTTTTATACCTCTTTTTGTTGTCAGTTTCTGATTTTTAAATCACAGAGAAAATGGAAAATTGTAAATTGTGACATTATTTATACTGTACATGGTTGTTTTCTTATATATTTATTGCATTTCAAAGGGTACTTCACTTGATAAGGGGCTACAAGGTATTTTAAAAATGTAGTATGATCATAATGTGTGGATAGGGGAAGTGCAATCAGGGGGGCGGTTTAATTTTCATGGTGCTAGACCCCTCCTTGCCTCAATGCCCCCTCATTAAACAGCATATACTTATGTATGAACATAATTAACTGATACAGCTCAAACCAACCAGCTGGTGCTTCGAACCATTTCAACACAGTTTACTGGGAAGAGAAATGGAATGATGTCTTTGTACTGTATCGAACAGATAAATAAAAGATCTTTTTTAACTTTATTTCCATTGTATGAAATTCATAATCTTGTGAGGCATTAGTGGTTTTATTATGAGCATTAGCAGTAGTCGTAATTCTTGACTCTTTTGCAGAGACTTTTAGGGATGTGACTTTCAATGGCGTCGGGGGTTTGTTTTTTGTGTCTTGTCCTCATTATTAATATTATTTGAAGGATGTAATAATGCTCTTTTTCCTCTTAACTTGTTTGATTTATGCTGCACTTATTGTTTCAAAAAGAACTCACATAGAAGAAAACCTGAGCCAGACCTGTCTTAAATCCCTCTGTGATTTTTCTGTGACATATTGTATTGTTGTTCAAGAAAATAAAATGTTTTGATAAATTATTCAACATCGAGTCTTTGCCTTTGATTTCCTGTCTGTCGTCTCACTCAAAGGCTTGGTCTCAACATTGGTAGGGATGCAACAACCCCACCACCCCTCCAAAACAAAGAGAGGCTTTTTGATGCCAATATAAGGTCTGAATTTAAAGTCAGGAATGTCCATATGCAAATGTAATATATGTACATGTTTTGAATTTCTGTAGATAATATATATGTACATATGAAGTAAAATCATATATGTATTTAAAGTATAGCCTAAATATGTAAAAATTACATATGAAAGCTGTTAGAAATTAGAACAATATCATATATTTACATATATGTCTACTTAATGCAAACATGTATTTTAGTATGACTATTTATATTATACACGTATGTTACATAAATACATATCCATCCCAAATCCTGTCAGTATATGTTCATATAAGGCATCAAATGTGAAAAATGTCTATGTAGAGTATAGTTAGAAACAAAAACATCAAAATACTTCATAGTATAGTGAGGCATGAAAATATCATTATAATAAGGTATAAAAAGTTCATAGTATAATAAGGCATAAAAAAAGTCATGGTATAGTAAGGCATGAAAATGTCAAAAAACGTCATAGTATAGTAAGGAATAAAAATGTAAAAAAAAAAGTATAGTAAAGCATAAAAGGTCATAAAAATGTCATAGTATGGTAAGGAATAAAACGACATAGTATAGTAAGGCTTATTAATGTCAAAATACATCATGTTTTATTAAGGCATAAAAGGTCATAAAAAATCATAGTATGCTAAAAGATAAAACAACAAAGTATAGTAAGGCTTAAAAATGTCAAAAACATCATCGTATAGTATGGCATAAAACGTCAAAAAAACATCATGGTTTATTATGGCATAAAATGTCCAAAAACATCCTAGTATAGTAAGACATAAAATGTAAAAAAAAAATGTCATAGTATAGTAAGACAAAAATGTCATAGTATGGTAAGTCATTACGCCACCTCAAGAACAATGTCTATTTTATTTAAAAATATGAAGCATGCTTTAGCAAACACATTTAGATTGTAATTAAATCATAACTTACTACAACCTTGTTATTATAAACCTAAAATCTTGTAAAGGAGCACTTTCCCTCATGACCTGGAGCATCTTACCCTGGTTTGTATATCTAACAAGTCAGGACGGATAAATACCTGTAGAGAAATAAGTGATTAGGAATTAAATACATAAATACATAAACAAATGAAATACATGTATACATGGTTAAAATACAGAAAATATATTAATATCAATGTACATTTTCCATCAATTATTTATTCTTTTTAGGGGGACTTTACATTCACTTGTTAATTTTTAGTTACCGCTTTATATCTATTTATTTAGCCTGTTTTTCTACCATTCTCTCTTGGAGATAAGCCTTTATTTGCAGGAGAAAACACTTAATATTTACTCCAATCTCTCACTTTGTAGATGATTGCTCTTCTGGTCCCACAGTTCAAACATTAATATGTCAGCTTCCCTTTACAGCTGATGGCCACTGGGTGGCTCCACTGGACCAGCTAGCTAAGGAGGCTTCCCTCAGAGTTGAGTTGTAGCTGGAGAGGGCAATACTCATTTATTTCCCCACAAAAATGTTTTCATGATACCATCTTGTCAAAGCTGCAGACGGCAGTTGCTCCGTGTATTTAAGATGGAGTGTAATCCAAAAGGAACAGAAACTAAACTGAATAATATGTCAATCTCTTTTTAAGCAGTAGAATGTCCTGGATGCTCGACTGAAAGAATACAGTCATACTGAACCTGCAGCTTATATCCTGTCAATTATAAAAAGCTAAAACAATATAAGACATTATGACTAACATAAAACCACAAATAACAATTGTCAAGGCACCACATGCTCTGAGGCAGTCACTTGGAGGACATGAGTCTGAGGGACATGTCATCGCAGAGCCTGGTCACAGCAGCGGATATCCCAGTTCCAAGGACAGGAAGACTGCTCTTCCTCTACCAACCCCCTCAGACACTGACATATACGCATATAAACAGCTCACTCTGTGGCATTGTTAATGGCAAAACCATCCACTGCTCCCACATTTTTTTAGCCAGAGTCCTAATGCCATGTTCTCTTTGATCATTGTCCTTGTACAAAATGTTCAAATGCCCCGGTTCTCTCTGGGGAGTATATATATCTGCTGCTGTGTAGAAATAAATAAACAAAGATGCCCAGAGTGAGATGGAAAAATGAGACTTCATATCAAAATACTAATTTCACCCTTTGAACTGAGCCCCTCTGGTTTCTTATCAGTCCCATGATAGCCTCGTTTCCCCGCCAAATTAGTCAATGTTCTCCCCCATCCTCATTTCCTTGTGTTTTCTGAAAGCAGAGCTGTTTTCCATCAAAAGGTCAGGGGCCAATCCTCCGTCATTCCTGCTTCTAAAACAGATCCTCGGCAATTCTGTCTTGCCCTTTGCCTTATTATTTCACAGCTCAGTGTTTTTGCTGAGTAGTTGAGTGGTGCTGTTTTATTGGTGATGATGAATGTAGCGTGGTCTGTGTCTTACCTCAGACTGGGGTTAGTTGTAGTTTGTTTTTCTTTTTTTTAATCATGGAAATCAATATAAAACCAGCTCATCTGTTTTGAATTTTGAAGTATGTGAAGGTGGAGTGGAGAAAGTGCTCAGTGAGGGTGTAAAGTGTTGTGGAGTGGGCAGCATACCCTGACTCCTCTAATCTATCCAAATAAACACTCTTCCACCCTCCCCCAGGTTTCAGGGGTTATCACAGGAACCCTCCACTGCTCCCCTGCCCACCACCAGCAGCAGTCTTTAACACAGCCCAGCCTGCTCTCTGTGCATTCACATTAGAGGCAACACAGGATACACACTCACACACACATACACTCGTAACCACTCACGCACTCAATCATATCTCAGACTGGAGTCAGAGTGAGGAAACAGAATGCCAGGGAAGGAAGCTGTGAAGCCGGTGGGAAAGCAGAATTTGCTTCAAGTCTACAAGGCTCTTTTCTGACCCACTCAGAGGATCTGAGGGAGAAGTTTAGATTCCTAACAGCAGGAAAGTATCTGATGACCTGATCGTTTCTTTTCTTTCTTAATTTTTTTTTTTCATTTGGAAAGAGGCCAGAAAACAGAAGGTGATTTTAGATTCCTTTAAGCCGTACGAACTCAACCTAACTTGGAAACCACCTTCCAGAGAAGACATACATCAGGAGGAAATTCTTGAAATTCTCTTCGTCTCCGACCTCTCACCGCTCCTCAGGTCTCTCAGGGTCCCATCATCTGCTGCCACCATCAAACTGTAAGAGGACACATCATCAGGTTTTACCTCACAGTGAGTACAAAACAGGTTTTTAAATTAAAACTATGTTGAAAAGAGTCAGTGACCCTGTTGAAAGGGTTAATTTTACTTAAAAGAATGAAGTACAAACATCTAATAAAACATCCTGAATATGTTTCTTGACAATATGTTTTCGGTGATTATGGAGATTAATTAATTTCGATGGGGTTGATCCAATCTGGACACAAGAAGCCTGTATTGATGATGTCATCAAAAGGCAAGTGTTGGAGCTCCTGTGATGTGGATTGTGTCTTTACGGAGCATCACAAACAGTGAGCTGATGATGGGGAGGGGGAGGTAATTTGCTTAAAATGCTGTTGGCAGGATAAAAATATAAGAGTGCTTGTACAACCCATGTGTTCACATGGCATAAGAACAGTACCTGTAAGCACGCTTGACCACAGAGGAAATGGTGGAACTTGTCATTGTCACGTGGAAAAGATCAGGTCTGTAGAGAGCGTCAGAGTTTATCAAATACCAGTGAAATGAGATAAGGTGAGGGGATCAAAGCTCACGCCGCCATCAATGTGAAAACAAAGTTGTAGCACAACATTTGTTCTTTGAAAATCAAAGTCATAGCTTTGCTCTGACACTCAGATCAGTGATTAGTAGGACTTTTTTCCAGCTGATCCGGGCTCATTGTTCTGGGTGGTGGTTATCCTGCAGTTTGGAGGTGGGGTCAGTGGAGCCCATTTCCTTGCACTTAGAGCTGTGCAGTTATCTTTGTTGACTTTCCACACCTTTCACCACATTATTTAAGGAGACCATTTCTTAATGGATTTATAGTCTTTAGCTTTTCATGTTTTTAGTGGATAGACAGAAGGAATCAGGAGATGCAGGGAGCGGAAGATTTTTAGTGCAAGAGCAAAACAGACAAACTATTTAATAGATGTTCAGACTTTTAAAGTACTTACCACACTCTGATGAACACTCATCATCTCAATATTGTGAAACAAAAATTCAGCTTTTCCCAAAAGGTAAACATTTTGTCCTGATAGTAGCGTTAACTATAATACATCAGTATAATCCAGAATATTGAGGAGGTTCATTTATGACATGATGTGGACATGGACTGTGATTCTTTCCTGCAGTAGAGACAAACAAGATGAGTCTGTCACGGAACGGGACGCTGGAGAAGACGGTATCTGAGCAGGGCCACTCTGAGCCACGCTCCCTCTCCAGAGCGGGGTCAGGGGTCGTGGTGCCGCCTCCATACTCACCGGGCGGAAGCGATGCTGCTGAAACTCCCCTGGAGTTGAGGGGCTCTCTGGACTGCTGGGCATGCTCTGTGCTGGTCACTGCCCAGAATCTGATCATCGCACTGATCAACGCTCTGCTGGCCAGCGTCGTGTTCGGCACCATCCTCACCCCGGCTCTCACTATGCTCACATTCGGCTTCCTCTGCCACTCCACGGTAAAGGTCTCCTGTGGATCTGATGTGTTTGACTGACAGAAATGAGAGAGGGTGCAGGTTTAAAAGCAGGTCATAGAGGTCATACATGATGGTCTCTAAAGTTAATATACAAGAAATACTTTGTGCAACCAGGAAAAGATATAGACTGTCAATCAAACCGCCACCAATTAACGACTTCAGGAGAAAGAAGGTGTTTTTCCAGAGATCTGATACTGTTTTCCAAGATCTTCCCCCAGCTTCATTTTAATTTTTTGCAGCTGTGACTAAGCTGCTCCTGGCTTCCTTTATGCAGTGCATTGTGGGACTATAATGTTCACTAACAGCACACTCAAAAATCCAGCAGATTTAGTGCGTAGTGATTTTTCCATTTACTTAATCATTCACTTTTCCAATGGGGCCACGACATAAACAAACCCTCCATAGAATTGTGTGTGCTATGGAACCAGGGCACAGGATGGGACTTAAAAAGAGGACATAGTGAAGAGCTAGGGATAGTTTTGTGTGTGTGTGTGTGTGTGTGTGTGTGTGTGTGTGTGTGTGTCCACTCGTTGATTATTTGTATCCATGCCTCCTCCTGCTCTCCAGGTGCAGCCCCACGGGACGTCTCTGTACTGCTCAGACATTCTGGATGACGGCGGCTGCGTGGCTCTGCTGGTCGTGGGTTTCCTGCTGCTCGCCCCTCTGCTGGTCCTGGCGCTGGCTGCCTACTGTCGCCTGGCCCGACACCTCCAGCTGGGCATGTGTTTCATTCCCTACAGCCGGGCCGTCTACAAGAACCTGCCTGCCTCACGCCAACGGGGGGGTCGAGGAGGAGGCTGCTGTGGGCAGCAGGGAGGCTCAGAGAGGGAGAGGAAGGGCAGTGTATGGGTGTAGGAGAGGAGAGGAGGGTTGTACAGGGTTGTATCCATGTTTAATGTCTAGACTTGGGTTGTTTGAGACTGGCTCTTTTTTTTTTTTAAGGAAATTTTCATTGTATTTCCTTTTCTACAGCCATTGTAAAAATCCATCATATTTCATCTTTTATATTGATTGTTTGGAAGTCTATATTGTTCTTTTATACTAGTCCATGTATTTTTATACCTTTTTACAATAAAGTGTTGCTCGTCCTACAAGCTGAATTTGTGATTCATATAATTTTGCAGAGGGAACATGATGGAGTGTGAAATGAGCCGATTTCATTTAAGAGAGATGAGGGAGAAGTTCAGAGACGTATAAAATACACTGAGTAGAATCATCTCATTATTTAAAGTCATATCATTATTTTAAGTGTGTGGATTTTCTTTGGATTGTAGAATTATGTGATGAGATTCATCAGCCATGTGCAAAGGAACATCATGGTTACTGTTATTTTACTATCTCTGCAGGTGTCAAACATGTTGCCTATTCTCATTAAAACTCTAACAATTACATAGTTAGAGATATATAATATATATATAATCATTAATGACTTGTTTTTTGAATCTACTAAGCTACTAACTAAATCTGTCAGATAACTGCAGTAAAGTAAACAGTATAATATGTCCTGTCCAATTGTAGTAGAGCAGAGGTATAAAGTATCATAAAGAGGAAATACTCAAGTAAAGTAAAAGTACCTCAAAACTGTATTCAAGTGCAGTACCTGAATAAATGTACCAGCTACTTCTACCTCTGCACTCTGTTAGCAGAGGTATAATAGTTTCATTCTTTTTTAAACATCATAGACCAACTTATACTTGGTGTGAGTTCAGATACGTATTAATGTACTTTCTCATCAATCTGTGAAAAATGAATAACACATTTCAAGTCAAACCACACAATTGGTTCTAGAAGGGAAATGACTCTAAACGAAGAATTTTGAATTTATTTTGGACCTTCATCTACCTCTACTGGTGCTTTTAGGAATTGCAACCACATCTTTTTGCTCCTAAAACAGAAACACAGTGTAAATTCTGATTGTAAATTTACACCATTAAGCAAAACAAAGAGTCTTAATTTCAAATGTACTTCGTGTAAAATATCTCCAGTGTAATAGAAACTTTATTTTGTAAACTGTATCTAGAAATGACATTAGATATTAAGCACTATTCAATGCATATTTATGTTCAGTTGTTATGTTGTCATGTCACATCATGTCATACGTGCTTGTTCACGAGATACACAGTGTAATATTACACACTGTGATGATATTGACAAGTGAATACACATTACAGTTTGTCACACTCCTGTTTAGAAAACTGAACATTCAACGAATAAATTGTAATTTGTTCACATTGTTTTGTCAGTGTGGACCATAGGAAGATTCATTCATTTATTTAATCACTTCTTCAACTAATTATTTCTTTTCAAAATTGGCTCAGAGCTGGTCCCAGATCAGCCTGGACAGGTCACAAGGTCACGGCAGATACTAAATCATGAGCAGCTTTGGAAGCAAGAGTGAATTTTTTGATTACAATCTAATAACAGTGTCAGAACATTTTGGACATTTTACCCTGTAATACTGTAATCTACTCATTTCACTCTGGACATTCCAGGGTCATTAATCTCTATGTCAGGCTTGACATCTTAATTGTAGACCACATGACTAATGGCCAATTTATGTCACAGTGTTTTAAATCTACACGTGAAAGGATTATTGAAAGATTAGCTCAAGTGCTATTACCCTTCAAATCCACTTGGTGGAGACAGAGACATAGTTCTCGCAGTTGGAGTGAGAGAGCAACAGCTGAAAATGTGTAAATAATTATGCAGTGAAACCATGTGAAAGAGATATAAAACCTTTATTCATATATAAATTACAAACATAAGGTTTGGCGGGTGTTCGAATAAAACAGCATTTTTGTATATCTTTAAAATGTTGGATAAACATGACGTTATGTCTTACTGCAGTATTGTGCTTCAATAGATATGTACTTCACATTGTAAATCCTGGATTTGTGTGTCTGATATGTCGTCTTCATTTTTAGGCCTGGACAGATGTGTGAGGTTAACAGGGTTGGTTCTGGACATTCATTATTAATTTGTGATGTGGGGCTTTGTAGGGAGCTGTGAATGCACCGGGTTCCAGGGTGCCACGTCCGTCTTCATTCACTTGACCCATGATAATGTAGCTGACACCTGTCAGAAGAAAAATGACACAGAGGTTGATCGGTGTTAAACGAATGATCTGTTGTGTGAGTGAACGTGCGATTTGAAAAGTCCGTACCTCTTCGGAGCAGCGGGCACTTCTTGCACTGTGACACCAGCTTCACCGACATGGTTTCTCCCACTTGTGTGATGGTGAGTCGACCTGCCTTGTAGGCTTTAATAAGGGAGACGCTAACAAGGAGAGTGCCACGGGGCCCAGGGGCCAGGGAGGTCACCTTCCCAGTTATCACTGGAAACAGGAAGCTCAGTCAGAACACAACACCTGATTGGTTACTTGTTGCGTAGGTGAACAGTAGGAAACTTACCAAATTCACTGGCACAGAAACTAGTCTTGATCGTTCCATCTCTTTTACAGGCTTTGGCACACAGAGGATTTTGAGGGACTAAAAACATAAAGAACACACAAATAGTAAATTAGACACAGAAACCTTCTGTTCATGGACACACACACACACACACACAAACACACGACTTCACTTACCAGGCCTCTTTCCATTTGGCCTTGTGACTGCCACTCTCCTGTCCTGACCTGTGGTGTCCTGTCCGCGACCTCTCGTAGGCTTGACTGGTCTGGGTCTCCTGGTGGGCTCAGGAGGTGACACTTCCTTGGGGTTGGGGGCAAGTGGTTGTACAGCGGGTCTGACTGGCAGTTTTGGGGGGGTGGACCTCGTACCGGCTCCTGAGTCGACGGCTGTGATCTGAGAACCACTAGGGACGCTTGTATAGTGGGCGAGGAATCCATCAGATGTCACACTGAGGTCAGACACGAACTGGACCAGCAGCACATTGCCACTGGTAATAATGGGTCTGCACAGGAGACAGGAAATGGAAGAGGTTTAAAGTTATGAATAGACAATTTAAAATTACTTTAATGGCAAACAAACAGCCTTAAAAACATCTGTCACTCACTGCGGGGCCTGATCGCCACAGTATTTTCCAATCAGCCGTGAATCATCTTTCTCTCCACCGTTAAAGAATGCCACGTAGTCAAAGCGACAGTAGGTGTCAGACTCCAAGAGGAATTTATCAAACTTCACCTGGATTACCTGGTACCCAAACAGAAACATCAAGTGATCATCGAAGAGCGGTCCTCCTTGTTGGATGTGAAGACTTTGCAAAATGAAATGTGTGTGTGCTGGGAGTGAGTGTGCGGCCGACCATTTCAGGCTCCACCGTGATAAGCCAGGAGCAGCTGGTTCCTGGTGGGTATTTCTTGTCAGGCCAGTTGGGCGTCATGATCTCTCCCTGGGCTTTGGTTATCTTCCCCCCGCAGAACTGCTGGTCTGAAATATGTTGTACAAACTCCATGAGGATGAGGAGAGAAGTGAACAGTAAATTGTTATCTTCTAAGGTGTATGCAAAGTATTATTTATTTGTGTTCAATAACTCGTTGATTTTTTGACTGTTGAGGTGGGAATTGGTTCCTTGTCGATCATATGTTACACCAGTCACACTTGTTAAAGATATTAGTTACACAGCTGCTACACTTGATCTTGTAATTGTCTTCATAAGGGAGATTCATTGTGCAGGTGGTGTGATCTGGAAAAAGTGGAAAGTAAATCCCATTTTCTTCTGTACTGCAAACACTACAGTGATCTAGGATTAGGATTGTCACCTGTTCATGAAGAGGCTCAACAAAAAACCCTGAAATATTCTGTGCCACATCAGAGAACATTTATCAACGGTTAATACTTTTTAACTAATGCTTTATTAGTAGTTGATGAATAATTTACTGATCAGTTAATTATCCATTAATAAGAACATATTTTGGGTTGTCCTGTTTGGCTGCTAGTTATCTTCCTATTTGATGCTAATGGTGTTATAAATGTTAGTAAGACATTAATAAACATGTCATATGTCAGATCTTCTTCGGTCTTTCACCAGGTGTTAAATGACCACATGGTCCAATCGGTACAAAAAAGATTTGACATATGAAGCTTTTGGTAAATGACTTGTTAAAGAAACAGATCATCATTTTTGGGACTATTTCTTTCAGCATAAGAAAAACATTAGTTAAAATTTATAAACCTTCATAAATGCTTCCTTATCGTTGTCTCAGAGGCAAGGAGAGAAAAACAGGATGAACTATTTAGTTGGTCTTTACTTTGATTGAAGCTCCAATTACATATCCTGTGTTTGCAACTAAGAATTTTGTTGTGGGCATGAAGATCTGAAAATTATTTGATTAAATAAATTAATATATAATTATGAGAAATTATGTGAGTTGCTTTCTTTTTGAAGTATCATTTAAAAATGTACATGAAGCCTGTGCAGACATGTTTCTATGGATGACATGATATCAAAGAGAAAAAACTTCTTCATCATCACACTAAACTGTGATCACGTACCATCCACATATGGTTTGGCTCCACTGAAATAGGCCACAAATCCTCTGCCCTGCGTCTCTGCATCAGACGCCATCTCTAACATCATGGTGTTCGTGGTAGAAATAAGAGCACCGGGCCGGAAAGTTCCACAAAATCGACCCAATTTTTGCACCAAGTTAGAATGGCCATTGTAAACATCCAGATAGTCGTAGCGACACTGTGAGTCAGCCTCCAGGTCAAAAATGCGGAAGGAGAGCATGACCACATTTCCCTCAGGGACCTGGAAACAAGATTGTACATGAGTCAGACGCTGAGAGACTGAGCGAGGAGGGAGTCAGTATGTCGACACGCAGCAGGGTCAGTGACTCACAGTGATACGCCAGGTGCATTTGCTGTTAGGTTTGTAGAAGCTTGGGAACCCTTCACTGCCAACAAACCCTGAGTCTGCCACCAGGTCGCCTCCACAGTAAAACACAGGCCTGTGATGAAGGAGACAGAAGTGAGGATATCACGGGAAAGTGCTGAAGACAGTGTAGGTCTGTGAAACAACAGAACTGCATCAATACAAGTCTACTGAGACTCTCTCAACTCCCACAGATACAAGCATTTTGAATGACTTAGCAGATTGTCTCTACTACTGGCTTTGAGGCCTTAACCTTATTTTGAAAAGTCAGTTGCTGATACTGATTGTTGTATGGAGCCTAAAAGTGATCAATATTAAATATTTACAAAGTAATGAATGAATTGTGTAAAATATATTATAGACATAAACAATAGTTTGTGGGAAAACTGTTAGAACATTTTAGAACTCAATTCATTTTTCTTCTTGTTTTCATAACAACAGAGTTTTATAGCAGTTTATTTTAGCTAACTGGCTCTGGGTTGTTGTGAAGCTGGTTCATGATAAGAAGCAAAGTCAACAGACAGTGTTAACGGCAGCTGCTAACGCTAGCTTGTGTTACTTCGGCTATGTTTTGATTCTAAAGATGTTTATCAGACAAACATATGTAAGTCTGTTAAAAGCAACAGGAAATGACCGACTGTCTTTCTCTGTGGTCACTCTAAACAATAGGAGCTAGCTTACACTGCTAACACTATTCACTTTGATTCTGAGTAATAAACCAAGCTCCCAACCCCTTAGCTAGTTAGCCAGCTAGCTAGGTAGGTTATGGTATGTGCAGCCATGTCAAGCTAAGCCTTAAAAGCTGAAGGTTTAGGCTGTGTACTGTTTATTTCCAGTAGCAGCTTATTTATTATAACTGCATGTAAAGGTACGGGTTGTGGTTCAGGTGAAGTTTTTCCAGAGTTGAATAGAAAACATTTAGCAATACATTATTAATACTATACATATATAATATACATAATATACTAAAATCGACTTCTCCTGGTACTATCCAAACCATCCAGATGTTTTAAGCAGTGGTTCCCACAGTGGTTCTGTATGGATGGGCCGAGGATGTCACAAGATTTGTTCATTCCCTCTCATCGTTGTATATTGTGATGATGCTTCACCACATTAAAAAATGAGGTTAGTTTTAGTTGAGCTACATCTTCATGCCTCCGTCACTGGAATCGCCACATTAAAACCCTGTTAAATATGAAGTTATGCCACAACTCACAACTGATGATTGTCATAGTATCGGTGGTGCTGACACGCTGCTGTGATAACAAAAACCATCACCATGGACGGGTGCCATGGTTTAACTGTGTTATGGAACTGCTGCTTTAAAGTCATAAAAAAGAAGAAGCATGGACAAAAAAGAGCTGTAGCTCAGTTTCTCAGATGAAGC